TTTTTTTTTTTTAAATATCTTGAGAATAAAAGAGTCAGCTTTTATAATAATATTAAAGTTTAAATCATTTCATATAACTCGTAGATTATTTTCTAATTGCAAGAGTCACGTAAAATTATTCTAGATGTAAACACTGAAAAACTCAGTGTATAAGAAAAAAGTACAAGTTCCCAGTAGACCCACTGTGCCAAGAGATTACCACCACCAGTTTGGTTTTTATTTCCCCTACTATTCTTCGTATACATACAGTTTTGCTTTCTCTCTCTTCCTTTTTGTTTTTCTTCTCTGAAATATATCTTGTTATCTCTTCATAATAAATTCTTTCATTTACATACAAAAGAAACAACCTTATAGGTAAGCTGCAGAGAGATCCCCAATAAGCAGCAAATTATAAGGATATTTCATGGTCTACTAATTAATCTTTACTAGTTGAGCCTGACTGTTCCCAACTATATTATCTACAGAAAGTTTTTGGAGAATATATTTAAAGAAAGTAAAGATAATGATCCAAATTCTAAACAAGATACCACAAATTTAAATCAAGATAACTGATGTTTCAGTATCGGGACAGTTCCTATATTTTTTAAATAACCACTTTTAGTGATTAAAGGATATATCAAAGCATTGGAGACCTATCTGGGCCTCCCCTGGGCTGCTGGCCTTACCAAGTGAGTGTATCTCAGCATTCCTTAAGTTGGTAAGCTCTTGAAATAAACACAATAGCGAGGTGTTTTTTTTTTTTAAGAAGTCTTTTTTTTTTTTTTTAATATTTTTATTTATGTCTAGGAGAGAGAGAGAGAGAGAGAGACAGCGTGAGCAGGGGAGGGTCAGAAAGAGAGGGAGATACAGACTCCGAAATAGGCTCCAGGCTCTGAGCTGGCAGTCAGCACAGAGTCCGACGCGGGGCTCGAACCCACGAACCGCGAGATCATGACCTAAGCGAAAGTCGGGACGCTTAACCGACTAAGCCACCCAGGCACCCCCACAATAGCAAGGTTTTAATGAGTGAGCCAACTCTTCCCATCCGAAAGGGGAAATACAACATCTGCTAAAAAACCAAATACACTGCAGCAACGGGTTCGGCAATAGACCTAGGGGTTTTCAGAGGTATAGTCTTTGCTTATCAAAATAAAAACCACAACAGAACAATCGTTTCAATGCAACACTCTGTGTTCTAAACTCTCTCTAGATTAATTAGCGTGAAGTCCCGCCAAGCTCATTAGGAGAGAAATCTGGACTCCTACAGCATGATCGGTGTTTACTGGCCTCCCAAACTAGAGGACTCTCCAACAAGGACAATGAGAACTTGGCGGAACCACAGACTTCTGGGCTTTCTTTACCGACTGCATTTCTAGTTTATTTTTAAACTGCATTTAAAAAAAAGTATAGTCCAAGGATCTTTTCAGATTTTTTTTTTAATGAAAAAACTTGTCTTTATTTAGTCTCCTTGTGTACCTCCAACCTCCAGTTACATTTTACAGCTATTGAACAATAAGCCATATGCCTCTTGAATCTTCCACGACCCAGATGTGTTATTAGATAACTCTGATTAGCTTGTCAAGCCCTCCAGAGCATGTGAACACTCGGGCACTTTAAGTTATATTCCAAGGAGGTAGGAAGACCAAAAAAAAAAAAATTTTTTTTTTCCTGGCACAGGCTTCTCCACCCACCCAATCCCCTTAAATCTCTTGGGCCTGCCAAGGGCCTGACCTTCCATTCTCTGGAGCACAGAGTGAAGTTTGCCAGGAGGAAAGCCCAGCAGATTAAGACTTCTGTTCAACAAATATTGCTCACCCACTCTTGTGGGAGTGAAACTGTTTGCTACATGCTGCCTGCCCAGAGAGTTAGGGACCTTCAGGATGCCTGTTCAGTTGGTGGCTAAGATTTAGACACCTAATATCAAGGTAAATATAAAGTTCAAACCCACACAACATTCTTAGAAACCAAATGAACTTACCAAATTCCCAATTTCACATGAAAATCATCACAATTCCCCATAAACAGAATCCGCAGATGATTCCCAAAACACTATACACGCTTGCCTTGCCGAAGGGTCATAATCCAGTCACCTTCACTTCTAAAACTGCCTGACACAAGGCACTGTTTTCCTGACATTTTACCTGCACAGCCTGTGACCAATCAGTTTTGAATAGTGGGTCTGCCATTTTTGTCCAAGTATTTCTGGGAGCCTGACCCCTCCCCCCACCATCTTCCAACCCTCAGAAAAAGCCATAGAAGGAAGACTTGAAAATGTAGCGCAAAACCCCTTGGAACTGTGTGGTCCACATTACCCCATCTCTCTCCTTAAGACAGGCCAGGCAACTAGACTAAGGGTGTGTGTGTGTGTGTGTGTGTGTGTGTGTGTGTGTGTGTGTGTTAGGAGGGGGAGAAGGGAGGGTGATCTGCCTCAGC